GCATTAGGTTGAGTTGCTGGTCAAGGAGGTCCCATGGAGACCCCTAACAACCCACACTAATGCTGACAGAAGGCCACTCTCTGAAAAATGAAAGTGGGGCCCTATTGCTGAGGAAGCATCCACGCAGCTCATTAAACTCGGGTTGAGCTACTGCAGATGTGGCACCTTCACCCCTACATTCTAGTATCTTTGGTGTGGGAAGGTACTCTGCAGGCTGCAAAAAGGGAAACCTGAAAACCAACCCAGCCACAGGATCTTCCAGGTACAATCTGCTCTGCCTGAAAGACGGGTTGCAGAACTTGTGGGCGTGGCTAACCAATGTTTAGTTTAACTTTAAGCCCAGGAATGAGAGGGAGCCCATGTCCTAGACAGCCTGGACGGCCAGGAACAAAAGACTGGATAGACCAGAGGCCTCGGGTAGAACCAAATACAACTGGGGGAAAAAAAATCAATGAAATGATTCCTAATGATATTCTGCTACACTAAAAGATCAGTGCCTCGCCCAATTGTCTTAAGAGAGGCTTTCTCCAACAGCAGATTTGAGTGGGTGTAGAGATTCATAGCCAGACATTATATATGCAGAAAGAGTCTAAATTGGAGGTCTCCATTGGGTTCCTTCCCTAGGAGATCTGGAAACCCTGGTGGAAGAGGAGGAGGAAAGATTGTAGGAGTCAGAGGGGATGGAGGACACCAGAAGAACATGGCCCACTGAATCAACTGAGCAGGGCTCACATGGGCTCCCAGAGACTAAAGCAGCAATCACAGGGCCTGCATGAGTCTGCCACAGGTTCTCCAGTTATGTTATGGCTCTCAGTTTGGTGTTTTTGTGGAACTCCTAGCAATAGAAGTGCATGTATCTCTGACTTTTAGGCCTACTTTTGAGACTCCTTTCCTCCTATTGGGTTGCCCTGTCCAGCCTCAATACGAGGGGTTTTGTCTTGTCTGATTGTATCTTGTTTTGTCCTGTTTGGCTGTTATCTCTTGGAGGTCATCTCCTAACCGAAGAATAAACAGAGGGGGAGTGGATCTGGGGGAGAGGAGAGGTGAGGGGGTGTTGAGAGGAGTGGAGAGAGGGGAAACTGTGGTCAGAGTATATTGTAAGAGAGAAGAATCAAAGAATCAATAAAAAAAGATAAATATAAAAAAGCAAAAGAAAGGAATAAAAAATAAAGTAGGTTTAAAACAAAAACTTGGAACTGGAGTAACACCTGAGCAGGTAAGGAATACTGGCTGCTCTTGGGGAGGACCCAGGCTGGGTTCCCCAAATCCACATGGCAGCTGACAAGAGTCAGTAACTCCAGATCCACGGGATCCACCGCTCCCTCTGGCAGCTGAGGGCACTGCATGCACACGTCACATAAACTTACATGGAGGCAAAAAAACTCATTCATGAAAAAATGGAAATAAATCTTTTAAAAGAGTTTTTCAAAAAAGAATAGTGAAAAGAAAAATGCTACGAAGTGACTGTAATTGAATCTATAATGACATGGTCTGGAGATAAATAGGTCAGTGGGAGGAGCCACATTATTCCATTCTAATAAAGGACAAAAATATATCTCAACTGAAGGGCATAAAGCACAATTAGTTAATAAGTGATGCTGGCACAGCTGGCTACCCACCTGTTAGAAAATGGTTCTTTCACTAAAAATATGAATAAAAAAAGAATTCCAGATGGAGTAAATGCTTAAATATAATAAATAAAGCATCAAAAATTAGGGAGAAAAAACTTAGGACACAGCACAACATGCTACTCAATGAGAAAAAAAAGGAGCACATTTGAGCTTATAAAAGTTAAAAATAATTTATGTTGCAAAAGCTATTATAGACAAAGTTAATAGGCTACCTCTATGGGCTGTATCCATTACCAGTATACCAAACGGCCCTCAGTATTGGTGAGAGACTATTAAACAATGGGAAAATGGGGTTTGTGAGAACAACCTGTGTCGTCAGAGGCACGATACTACTCCAGCTAATTACTAATTAGAGAAATGTAACCAAGGTAAATAATAACAGCATCCAGCATTCACACTGGCCTGCCCTCGGGGACCAAGTGACAGCAGCCAAGGTGTGACCCATGGCCGCTCCCTCCAGAAGCCATGCGCTCCCCATGTGCATGCACTGTGTCCCCTTGTAAAGAGCACTGCCTTCTCTCCCTGCCCCTTCCTTCCACTCTCGCTCAGAGGCTGCCTCTTCCCCGCCCCCAGAAGCCTCTCTCAAGTGTGATCTGCTGCATCCACCCCTTGGCTCCAACCCACTAAAGCACCTTTCGCCATTAAATTCTTAAAACACACTCCACTGCTAATGAGATCAAAGAAAAAATAAAACAATAAAAGCAATTGCTAACAGAATGAGGAGGGCAAGTGCACATTTCTACATCTAATTTTGAAAGCAGTCCACTGCGCTTTAAATGAGGAATGTCTCCCATAGTCCTTAGAGGGTGGCTATGCTCAGGAGATGGACCCTTGATGGAGGACGTACATCAGCAGGGGTGGACACTGAGGTCACAGAGCTTGGCCTACTTCCCACTCTCTTCACTTCTGACTACTGATGTGACTTGTCCTCGGTCCTGCTGCCGTGTGCTCCCCGGCACATGGTCTATGTACCCTCTGGAACTTCAAGCCAAAGCAAGCCCTGTCTCCTGTAAGCTGCTTTGTTGGCCCTTTATACAACAAAATGAAACCACTACAGAGCCTGGTAAATTCTTTTCCATCAAATACACCTCAACAAACCACACTCCTGGGAATCCACCCCTAAAAACAAAATAAAAAGACCAATCCAAGGCTGATGGCAGCATCCTCCTACTGTAAAGAGCAAGTAACAAAAACAAGCATTCGAAGCAATGAGGAAATAAATAATGGCACACATTATTATTATTAGAGCAGCCATGAAGAAGAATATACACCATTTGGCTCTGAAGAGTTTTCTGAGAAGCATCTTAAGTGACAAAATGTGATAAAGGAAACTATGGTTTTATTTTTAAAATCCAAATCCTGTTCAAAAATCATTAATGTGCATGTGCCAAACTATGTCTGCTTTGCCATTCTGTCTGTCTGTATGGTTGTAAGGAGCAGAGACACAGCACAGGAGGTTGCACGCCAGCTTGCTGGCACTGAGTGCAGGCTTTAAAGAGGAAGACAGCGACATGACTTCACTTAGGTTAGACAACTTATCAAATCCATGCTTCCCTGAGGACGAGGAACGCAACACGATTGGCTTGAACTTCCGCCCCCTCACGTCACAATCACCTGCCTGTTCTGTGCAGTATCTCACAAAGTTTCTGTGTTTTATAAGCATCCTGCTGTTCATTAATGATTGATTGTTAACTCACATTTTATATGAGATCAGTTTTAGACCCACTTTTCAAGTTGGTGGCTGGGAGGTTTTAGTTTAAATGAGAAAGGCCCCTATAGGCGCACATATTCGCATGTTTCGTCCTCAGTGGAACAAAGGAGGATGAGAAGGCAGAGATGGGATGGTCTTGTTGGAGGAGGACTGACAGTGGGGGTGGGCGCTGAGGTTCCCACCGCTCATGCCAGGCGAGTGGCTCTCTATCTGCTGCCCATAGAGCAGGATGCAGACCTCAGCTACTTCTCCAGCACCATCTGCCTGCTCCCCATCAACCTCTGAAACTGTAAACGTGCCCCCCCCCCCCGTTAAATGTTTCCACTTGTAAGAGTTACTCTGGGCCTGGTGTCTTTTCACAGCAGAACACTAATGAAGAAAGGGCACACAATTTTACAGATAAATGCAAATACACAGCTATATACAAATAGATTAGAAAACTAAGAATTCATTCATTATGAATGTAAAAATGCCCACCAAATGAAAACATATTGAAAATGTGCCAGAGTTCCAGTGGGTAATAGTAAATGAGATATTAATTATCATATCTACTTTAAGGAGACTAGAGAGATGGCTCAGTGGTTAGGAACACTGGCCATTCTTCCAGAAGAATCAGATTCAATTCCCAGAACTTACATGGAGGGTCACAAGCATGCGTAACTGCAGTTCCAGGAGATCTGCTCCCTCCTTGGCATCCTTGACAGCAGGGATGCACATGATGTGCAGACATACCTTCGTACAAAACACGCATCCACATACAATAATAACTTTTAGTGTACACATAAATGTTTGTGGAAAAGAGGTAGCTGTTGGAGGTTGGGACAGGCCCCATTCAGGAGACAGAAAGAGGAAAGAGTGGTGACGAGCTTCGCCTTCCTGTCTCTACATTCTGTTATCAAGCTTATTACAACAAAAATAATAATAATACTTTTGGAGTGTGAAAACAGTTTTAAAAAGATAATTTATAATTAAAATGTGATTTAGTATCTAATTCATAGGCTGTGTTGAAAAGACTATATATGATATTTCATGCAATGTGTTAGTTCATCCCCGATGTGTTGCAAATGCTCAAGTTAGTTATGTTATTTTAAAAAGTAAGTATTCTAGACAGCAGCGGAAACTATGACGCTGGAGCGTCAAAGCCTTCGAAAATGGTATCATGCAGACTGGGCACTGTCACCTCATGCGGAGTCCCCTCCTTTAGACTGTGAAGGCTTGTACTATGGTAACAATCCCATTCATTAAACAGTTCTACCATTGTAAAACTAAAACTACAATTAGGTAAATATACTATTACGGAAAGGAGATGGCGATCCTTTTGCCTTGAAGTCAACACTACGAACATCGGGAACCGTCTCGCAGGCATTGCGCTCCGTCCCAATACTTGAAAAGAGAAATACTTGGGGCCTGGATATGGACTCCATGTTGGGGAGACTTGAGAGGACAGACTGGGAAGAAGTGCCACAGCTCTTGAACCCTGCCCAAGAGGAAAGTTTATTCCCAATGGAGAAATGCCACTCGGACTGTGGCCTACCTACCCCAGCCTCGTTATAATTCACGAGAGCGGAATCTGGCATTGGAACCACTATTTTCCAATAAAACATCCAAATGTCAGAACAGCTTCATAAGTGTTGCAGATGGTTGGTCTTACTACTCACATGGAATTCACCTTTTCTTCAGGACCCTGCACTTGACCCGTCACGGTACCCTTGCTTGTGTTCTTCACCCAGCCAACCACTCCTATTTTCTTAGCTTCTCCTTCTGTGTACTGGTTTCAGAAAACAAACAAACGAAACAAGAGAGGTCAAGTGCATCACTAGAAGTCCATACTTAAACAAACAACTCTAATAATCAGAAACCGCTCACCTGACATCATTGGTTTTCTAAAATATAGTCTTTGGGACCGCAGAGATAGCTCTGTGGTTAAAGGCATCTACTGCCCTTGCAGAGGACCAGGGTTCAATTCCCAGCACGCATGTGGATGCTTACAACCATCTATAACTCCAGTTCCAGGAGATCCAATGCCCTATCTGGCCTCTGTGGGTACTAAATATGCAAGTGGTACACAGACATACATGCAGGCAGAACACGCATACATATAAAATACAGTCTATGTGCTTGCATAGCGGACCTATGGTCCCACCACTATTTGTAAGATCGGTGCAATTGGAGAAAATAGACCAACAGTGAGAACTGCTTCAATAGTTTCTACTACATACAATTTAATTGCTTTCTCTCACATCCATTAATGATCATTTACATTGTTAATCTGGGTTTCATAGACTGATGAACCCAGGATTCTCGATCACTGATTTAAAAGTTTGTGATCAACATAAAATACATATAGGCAGGAACGGATACTGAATCGTTTCTAAAATTCCAATAAAACAGACACAATTTTACTAATAAGATCAAACCAGCAAGAACACTGGCCTAGACACAGTGGTCCGGAGGCTAGTTCATAGTTAGAAGGTTCTGGTACAGATGGCTATGAAGAAATTCAGGAGCTAGACGGAAAATCAAGAACACAGTAAAAATTGGGGCAAAGAACTCTTAAGGACAGAGTTATCCAAATTACAGAGGGGCTTGACTGATGGGGACATGGTGGGACTCGTGGAGTCAGCAACCAGAAACCTAAAATAGTGATGGCCAGTTCAGAGAGCAGGTAAAAATACACACTACAGTTAACAGTACATAGTACGCTTGGAATCCATAGGAGTTCCATAAATAATAAGACATAGGAAACATGTAAGAAAACCTTAAATAGTTTTAATAGAAATCACAATCAGTAATTTTAAGAAAAATATCATCAGCTACCAAGAACAGGATATAAGCTGTAGGTGAGAAATGGGTTGGAAATGCCTCTATGATTAAAATCAATAGTAAAAAAAGGCATAAAAATAAAAGACAGGTCTCACTTACCATTCTGAAGCAAACACCTGAATGAAAGAAGAACAAAAAGAAACGTCAGCTTGTCTGCCTTTTATAAACTGTGCATCGTGTATTAAAGGGTGAGTAACAAAATGAATCAAACACTCAGATGTGAATGGACTCAGAGGGTCTTCTTGAAAACTATTTTCTTTTAAAATGAAGACTTTGGGGGAAAAATACAATATTTGAAACTAACATAAATAACAAAATGTTGAATTACACAGGCAGTGGTGGCGCCTTTAATCCCAGTAGTTGGGAGGCAGAGGCAAGAGGATCTCTATGAGTTCGAGGCCAGCCTGGCCTAGAAGCGCTAGTTCCAGCCGACAGCTAGGACTGTTACACAGAGAAACCCTGTCTTGAAAAACCAAATAATAGTAATAATAATATTTTAAAACGTTTATTAAAAACACAGTTGATCTGGTGATACAGGCCCATAATCCTGACTACTTGAGAGACTGAGGCAGAGGAATAACGAGTTTAAGTTCAGTGTAGGCCACATAGAAAATTCAAGACCAACCTGGGCAACTTTGCCTCAAAATAATAAGAATGGGGAGGAGGTTGTCTATGCATGCAGGCCAATGGTACATTTGCTTAGCATGTATGAAGTCCTAGACAGTCCCTAATCCCCCAAAAAGTGAATGAATGGACAGATGAGAGGAGTTGACATAAAATATGCCTATCCTCAGTTTTTAGAATTTCTTTTCTAATGCAAGAACTAAATTCAAGTTTAAATTGTTTCTACATATAGCCAGAACCAATGAGGCAAAGCCAGCACCAGGAAATGGCATGTGCTTGACCACTGCTGGGCTTCCAGAGCCTCCTCTTTAATGGAGATCAGTGTCAATGAAAATTACCCCAGAAGCTTTCTGGTGTAGCTGACAAGCTATGCATACTGTGGATCATGTATGTTGGGTGTAGTACCGTTCGTGTTGGCTATGGTTTCTCTCTCTGGACTGAGGCAGACCAAGCTGTCACACACTTCAGTTATCCAACTTCAAGCTGTGTGAGCTTCATCTCAGACAGAAGTCAAGGACGCAAGGGTTTGGGGATGTGGATCAATGGCAGGGCACTTGTGAAGCATATATGAGGCCCTTGGTTAGATCTTCAGTGCACAAAGTTGCACTCATATATAGATAAAGAAACGCACACATCCCCACAAGGAATGCTATTAACATTATATCCTGTATTGTCTATAACCAGACACTGGGTTCCCTAATGGAAGTAAGACAAGAAGCTAGCTAGTTCCAAACTATCAGGAATGTATCCTGGAGACCTGGACCCACTGGAGAAGGCCTAGGAATTATGATGATTCTAAACAACAGACCTCAGGTCATTCCCCAAAACTGCAAATCAGAAGATCCTTGAGGGCCGGAACACCGGGCCGGGCAGCGGAAGGCGGCCGGAGGACGCCCAGCACAGCCGGCGGGGACCAACTGGGACAGGCTGGAACCGGCGGGGACCAGAGCGGCAGCAGAGGACACAGGCTGCTGGTGGCTGGAACCATCCCAGCAGCAGAAGCAGGCTGCAGGGACCGCGCGAAACACCGAGAACAGATCGCCCCACTACAATTAAACCAAAGAGGTAGGCATTCGGTTGGGGAGGTCCCTGGCAGGAACCAGGAAACAGAGCAAGGGCATTTTGTAAGAGGAGCCCCTGGCCAGCAGGGAAACCTGAACCAGTTTTAATAGACCCCTTAGATAGCATCGATAGGAGGAGATGGGCAGGCGTCAAGGAAAGAATTCACCCAATAATCTGAAAATCAGCATGAAAACACCAGAACCCAATGATCTTACAACAGAAGGTCTCCAACACCCTAACACAGAAGAAGTGGAAAAAATTGACTTTTTGAAAGCAGTAGAGTCCCTTAAACAACATGTGAAAAATGCCCTTATAGAAATGGATGAGAAGTATAACCAAAAATTTGAAGAAATTAGTAAATATGTACATAATACCCTGGGAAACCAAGAAAGAACGATCAAACAGGTAATGGAAACAGTTCAAGAATTGAAAACTGAAATGGAAGCAAGGAAGAAAACACAAACTGAGGACCAGCTGGATATGGAAAATTTAAGTAAACAAACAGAGTCTACAGAAACAAGCATAACCAACAGAATACAAGAGTTAGAAGAAAGAATCTCAGATTCTGAGGACACCATAGAGAAAATAAACACTCTGATCAAAGAAAACTGCAAAGCCAACAAATTCTCATCACAAAACATTCAGGAATTATGGGAAACAATAAAAAGACCAAATATAAGAATAATAGGAATAGAAGAAGGAGAAGAGTCACAGCTCAAAGGCCCAGAAAAATATTTTTAACAAAATTATGGAAGAAAACTTTCCCAACTTAAAGAAAGATATTCCTTTGAATATTCAAGAAGCATACAGAACACCAAACAGACTGGATCAAAGGAAAACATCCCCTCGCCATATAATAATCAAAACACAAAATATACAGGTTAAAGAAAGAATACTAAGAGCTGCAAAGGAAAAAGGCCAAGTAACTTATAAAGGTAAACCGATCAGACTTACACCTGATTTCTCTATGGAAACAATGAAAGCCAGAAGGTCCTGGATAGAAGTACTGCAGAAGCTAAGAGACCATGGATGCAAGCCCAGACTACTATACCCAGCCAAGCTTTCGTTCACTATAAATGGAGAAACCAAGACATTCCAGGATAAGAACAAATTTAAGCAATACGTAGCCACGAATCCAGCCCTACAGAAAGTAATAGAAGGAAAACCGCAACCCAAGGAATCCAACATTGCCAACACTGCCTACAATAACTCAGGCATCTAGCGACCCTTCACTAGCACAACTCAAAGAAGGGAGACACACAAATTCTACTTCCAAAAACAACAAGAATATCCGGCATGAACAACCACTGGTCATTAATATCACTTAATATTAATGGTCTCAACTCACCTATAAAAAGGCACAGGCTAAGAGATTGGATACGAAAACAGGATCCAACATTCTGCTGTTTGCAAGAAACACATCTCAACCACAAAGACAGGCATCTACTCAGAGTAAAGGGTTGGGAAAAGGTCTTTCAAGCAAATGGTCCTAAGAAAAAAGCAGGTGTGGCCATATTAATTTCTAACAAAACTGACTTCAAACTAAAATCAATCAGAAGAGATCGAGACGGACACTTTATACTCATAACAGGAACAATTTGTCAGGATGATGTCTCAATCCTGAATATTTATGCCCCTAATATAAAAGCACCCATGTATGTAAAAGAAATATTACTAAAACTCAAGGCAGATATCAAACCACACACACTAGTAGTAGGAGACTTCAATACACCTCTCTCAGCAATGGACAGGTCAATCAGACAGAAACCTAATAGAGAAGTAAGAGAACTACTGGAGGTAATGAAGCAAATGGACTTAACAGACATCTATAGAACATTCCACCCAAATAGGAAAGAATATACCTTCTTCTCTGCAGCCCATGGAACCTTCTCGAAAATTGACCACATACTCGGAAACAAAGGAAACCTCCACAGATACAAAAAAATATCAGTGTCCACCTGCGTCTTATCAGATCACCATGGATTAAAGTTAGAATTCAACAACAATCCTACCTCCAGAAAGCCGACAAACTCATGGAAACTGAACAGTCAACTACTGAACCACACCTGGGTTAAGGAAGAAATCAAGAAGGAAATTAAAGTCTTCCTGGAATTCAATGAAAATAGAGAAACAACATACTCAAACCTATGGGACACTATGAAAGCAGTGCTAAGAGGAAAGTTCATAGCACTAAGTGCCCACTTAAAGAAAACAGAGAAAGCATATATCGGAGACTTAACAGCACACCTGAAAGCTTTAGAAAAAAAAGAAGCAGACACGCCCAGGAGGAGCAGAAGACTGGAAATAATCAAACTGAGGGCGGAAATCAACAAAATAGAAATGCAGAAAACAGTACAAAGAATCAATGAAACAAAAAGTTGGTTCTTGGAGAAAATCAACAAGATCGACAAACCCCTATCCAAACTAATTAAACGACAGAGAGAGAACACGCAAATAAATAAGATCAGAAATGAAAAGGGGGATATAACCACAGACACAGAGGAAATTCAGAGACTCATTAGATCTTACTACAAAAGCCTGTATGCCGCAAAACTAGAAAATGCAAAAGAAATGGACATGTTTTTAGATAAGTGCCACATACCAAAGCTAAACCAAAACCAGGTGAACGATCTAAATAGACCTGTTAGTCGCGAAGAACTAGAAACCGTTATCAAAAATCTACCTTCCAAAAAAAGCCCAGGACCAGATGGTTTCAATGCAGAATTCTACCAGAACTTCCAAGAAGAGCTAATACCTATACTCCTTAATGTATTTCACAATATAGAAACAGAAGAGTCATTGCCAAATTCCTTTTATGAAGCTACAGTTACCCTGATACCAAAACCACACAAAGACCCAACCAAGAAAGAAAATTACAGGCCTATCTCACTCATGAATATCGACGCAAAAATTCTCAATAAAATACTGGCAAACCGAATCCAAGAACACATTAGAAAAATTATCCATTATGATCAAGTAGGCTTCATCCCAGAGATGCAGGGCTGGTTCAACATACGCAAATCTATCAATGTAATCCAGCATATAAATCAACTGAAAGAAAAAAACCATATGATCATTTCATTAGATGCTGAAAAAGCATTTGACAAAATTCAACACCTCTTTATGATAAAAGTCTTGGAGAGATTAGGGATACAAGGGTCATACCTAAATATAATAAAAGCTATTTACAGCAAGCCGTCAGCTAACATTAAATTAAATGGAGAAAAACTCAAAGCCATCCCACTAAAATCAGGAACACGACAAGGATGTCCACTCTGGCCATACCTCTTCAATATAGTGCTTGAAGTTCTAGCAATAGCAATAAGACAACATAAAGGGATCAAGGGGATTCGTATCGGAAAAGAAGAAGTTAAGCTCTCGTTATTTGCAGATGATATGATAGTATACATAAGCGACCCCAAAAACTCTA